GCATGTTTTAAAAGAAATGTCAGAAATTGGAGCGTTTTACCATCTACATCTTTAAAGTGTTTAAAATTTTTAAAGGACATAATTGCATATGCACCATGCATATCACCATGACACACATGCAGAAGTAAAAGGAGAACTTTGAGGAGCTGGTTCTCTCCTTCCATCTTTGTGTGGCTTCCAGGGATCAAGCAATTCAGGAGGTAAGGCTTGTGCAGCACACACAAGTACCCACTGGGCTCTCTCACAGCCCTAGATAAACCTTCCAACCAGTAAGAACTTTTCTTTAAACAAAACAAGCAACAAACAAAACAAAAATAAAAAGTTACCCCATAATCACTAACAGTAACACAAATAAAGCTTTAATTTATTTTTTATTCTATGTTCAACTTTCTCCAGAGATGCTTTTTTTTTTTTTTTCCTGATAAATTCATTCAAATAAAGACTTAAGCAAGGATAACACAGTAATGATCCTTTTAAGTTAAAATTCTAACCAGGGGCTAATGTGTTCTGTCTTTTTTTTTTTTTTTCTTTTCCTCTAAGCCAAGGATGGTGTCTGTCCTGGAGGCAGTTTGTGGCATCATGGTAGGCGTGGATCTTTCGAGCATTTGAGACCACTCTGGGAGGTAACAGTCCCTCATGCTCTGTCTTTATCATTCACTCAGAGCAGGTGGCTCTGAATCCACACAGCTGCTGACGGCACAATAGTCCAGCCAACAGGGCTGGGCCTCTTTCTGCAGGGAGGAGGATTTGGGGTGATGTGTAGCAGAGCCTATTGCAGCACAACTTACTCTTCTTATGCATGGCTTGGGGGTCAAGGTTAGGTTGACACATCTAGGAGGTGTGTGGTAAAGTCTTGTACAATTGGACTAAAGGTTTTCAGGGCTGATATTAGCTCCTGTGTTATGAGCTCTTACACGTTGTATTAGTGGCTTAGGCTGCCAAAAGTAAGTATCGCAGCTGGATGGATTGAGCAGAAGAAATGTATTTTTTTTTCTCACAATTTTGGAGTTTAGAAGACCAAGATCAAGGCAATAGCAGGTTTGGTTCCTTCTGATGGTTGCAAAAGAGACACTTGTCCACAACTCTCACCTAGTTTCCTGTGGTTTTTTGGCAATCACTGGTATTCCTTGGCTTGTAGAAGCATCACTTTGCTCTGCCGTCATCTTCTGATCATGTTCTTCCCACATGCACAGCCATTTCCAAATGTCCCTTTTTATGAGGATGCAAGTCATTGGAACTAGAGTGCTGTCTTAATGACCCCTCTTGATTAAGACCTTCTGCAACTTTTCTTTTTCCTTCAGTGACTCTTAAAAGAAGTTTCTTTTTTTAAATCTAGATAATGTTTTTATTAATTTGGGGGATTTCATACAATATGTTTTGGTTGTATTTACCCTTTCCCTCAAACACTTTCTGGATCTATCCCCTCCCCCCTCACCTCACTACCTCCACAAACCCATTGAGTCTGATATGTGTTGCCCAAACACTCTTGAGTGTGGGGGCTGCTCTGAAGAGTGTTAGTTTACGAGGGGTCACGTGTCCTTGTGTCCTTAAGAAAACTGAATCTCCCTCCCAGAGCAGCTATCAAACGCTGATAGTTCCTCAGCTAGGAGTGGGGCTTAATGCTCACCTCCTCCCTTAAAAGGGGTTTCTTAGAAAGGGCTACAACTTTCAGTATATTAAAATGTTTAAGGGATATACACAAATCAACCCGTGAGGCATACCAAGTACACTGTGTGCGGATGTGTGTGTACATGTTTATGTGTGTACTCATGTGTACGTGTGTTGAAGCCAGAGACTGAAGATGATGAAGACTAAAAGATGTCTTCTTTTATTGATCTCCACCTTATCTCTGCCTGAGCCTGGAGCTAATTGCCAGTGAGCCCTTAGGACCTGTCTCTGTCTCCTAGTGAGAGAATTACAGGGCATTACTAGGCCCTGCTTTCTATATGGGTGCCTGTGATCTGAACTCAGGCTCTCATGCTTGTATGGCAAGCACCTTACAGGCTGATCAATCTCCCCAGACCCTATTATCCTCGTTTTAGAGATGTAGAAACAGAGGCTTCAATAATGAAGCAGTTTAAGATGGCACAGCTGGTAAGAGGCAGAAAGAAGACTGGGAGCCTAGACACCTGATTTCAGAGCCCACAATTTTAACTGCTTCATTTTAGTGTATTACCTCCCCTTTATCCTTACCCGACCCCTTCTCAGTGTAGATGGAGGAAGTTGACAGAAAAACTGAAGGTTAGACTTGGGCAAATTTCTATGGCATCTTAATACTGCCATCTGGTGGTATAAAAAATTAAAGCAGCCCCAGTTTTCTGGCAGAGTCCTTAGCTATAAATTGTATTTGGGGTTGTGAAAACAGAGATTAAGACGGACTCACTTGCCAGCTTATTGATTACTTTCCTCTGGCGGGACTGCCTTGCCAGGCCGCAGGGGAAAAGGACATGTTTAGTCCTGATGCAACTTGATGAGCTGGGCTGGATGGGAAAGGGAACTCTCCTTTTCTGAGGAAAAGGGTGGAGGGGTGGGGGAGGAGGACTGGGAGGGGAGGAGAAATTGGGCTACAGGCTGTAAAGTGAATAAAAAAATTAAAAAGTGCAGCATTAACTTTGAGCTCTTTAAGGTAGATTAAATTTTCTGATTGGAGTATGTAAGTGCTAGACTATTCAAGGACCTACTGGGAAAGTTATTACACATTTAATAAGTCTCTATTTCTAGGAAACTTTACAACCAGCCTTACAATGTTTTGGAAAACTTGTTTCTTTTAATGTTCTTGATCTGATAATTTATTCTGGTCACCTTTTCTTCTGTTTCAACTCAGGACTCACTGATACCTTGATCACTTAGCAATTAGTAAGCATTTACTTGTCTTTGATAGAAAGAAACAAGGGTCTGTACAGAGCTGGCTTCACCTCTGAGGGCACAATTCCCCATGACTTCACATTTGTATCTGTCTCTGTCATTATGTGTATCCCACTACAAGTTCGAAAGGCTGCCAGATACTCAACATAAGTTTGGAAAAATACCAGATTGAAATAAAAATAATTTTAGAGTTGAAAGACACCTTAATGTTTATTTATTGTAGATCACACAACTTATTTGCATTTCTAAAGGGGAATCTTGGAGGAAAGGAGTCTCTGAGTTGGTTTTTGCGGGGTGGCTCATCACAGCTCCTTGCTGCTTGTAAGATGGGTCTGGGGACTGACGATGGCTCTATTAGAAATTCATTTATTTTCTGTTTTCAATCAAAGACTGTTAGATGCTGTCAGCCACAGGCTCTGTGTTGAGTTCAGATGCAAGGATGGCATAGCGTAGGTCATGTGATCAAGGGTTATAGAACTGGTATTTGTAAATGGTTTTCCTTAAATACTTTCTAACAGAGAGGAGATTGCAAGCACAGCGCAAAGAGCATCACCGTCCACAGATCACAGTAGATAAAAGTTGCCATTGTTCTTTATTACTTTACTATGTGTCTTCTGCAAAGACACTCCCAATCGCACAAGGACATATCTCAATGCAACACACAAGTCAAGAAATTAGCACGTTATTACCATTGACCTGGACTCCGTCCAAGTTTGTTTCCGTATTTTCCTTTACAGGAAAGAGGGACCCAGTTCAGAATCAAGTAGCCCTCAGCTCTTTGCTGTCCTGTGACTGCAGCTACGCCTATCCTGCTTTCACTTTCATTATCATCAGACTTCAAGCTTGCAGACCAGTTACTTTGTAGATTGTCTAACTTGTTTTTGTGTAAGGCTTCCTTATGATCAGCTTATACATTTTGACTGAAATGGCACAGATGTGACGTCAGGTTCCCTCTCGCTGCGCCATAATGTGAGGACTATAATCTCAGTACTCTCCATTGTTGACAGTCTTCACATTGATCAGTTGACTTAGGTGGTGTTTGTGTCACTTTTGTAATTAGTGACCATTTTGTGAGCTGAGCGTGGTGGTTGTACAGCTTTAATCTCAGCACGCAGGGAGGCAGAGGCTGTTGGATTGCTATGGGTTCAAGGCCAGCCTGGTCTACAAAGTGAGTCCAGGACAGCCAAGGCTACATAGAGAAACCCAGTCTTGAAAAAAAAGAAAAAAAAAAAAAAGACCATTATGTGGGTGAGGCACTTCAAATCATGCAAATATCCCGTTCTGCATCAAAGTTTTAATTTATTCACATATTTTGTATCAGCATATGCCCATTTTTGTCTGTTTTGTCTAATGAGTCACATGCTCTTGTTGATTTTACTTTTAATAATTTGATATTTAAATTATCCCATGTTCCAAAGGTGGGCCATTGTAAGCTGGCTTCTGTGATCTGTCAATTCCCAACCACTCTTGTTTTTGGTGGTGTAATGTTTGACAAATGACCACTCTCATTCCCAATCTCTTTAAATATAAAAATTTTAACAACAGTGTGACTTATCAGTACAAACATACAATGTGTACTGATCAACCAGGGCAATAAATACCATATTTGTATATTGACCCTGTGTTTGCTGTCCATAGGCTATTGTGGTGTGCAGGCCCACACTTTCCTGTAGAACAACAGACCTGTTAATTCTGCCTTTGTTTGGGGACCCATTATTTCACGTTTTATTTCTCAAGTAACTCAATTTCTTCCGCCTCTGTCCTGGAGTCATCCACCCAAAGGGATACCACTGCTTTCTAGTCCCATCAAACACAGTAGGGTCTATCCCAGCTTTCTCCCTTCTTGCCTGTGGCTGCCTTCTCTGACAGTGAGGACTCCTTCCTTATACTCAGTGCTTCTGCATACAGTCACTCTCCTATGCTGCTGCCACTGTGCTCAGAACAACACATTCTGTCTGAGCTGGGAGAACAAGAAGCCCTGAAGCAAACACAGCTCATTTTCACTTTCTAAAGTATTTCCAAGTTGGATGTTTCCAAGTTTAGATGTTTGGAGAATGAAAAAAAAAAAAAAAAAAAGTTCCCCTGAGGCCACAATGCAGAGGAAGGACTGTAGACACAGACTGACTAACACTCTGCTTCCTGCTTTTTATTTTTTTTATTTTTTTATTTTTTTATTTTTTTTCAGGGGGTGGGGTGCAGATTTGGGAATTGCTGATGTGCAGGCCAGCCTGGGGCTTCCACACATGGGCTCTGAGAAGATTCCATGGTGACTGCACGTACTGCTGTGTAAAGCAAGGAGAACAGAACCCAGAGGTGGACTGTCCATGCCCCCTAGGAACACATTTATCCTGCCTAGTGAGGGCACCAGCCCTTGACATCACATATAAGCTACTGTCTGACAATTGTTGAGGGTCTGTTGTGCAGCAGCCCCCGGGCAAGATGCCTTCTCACAAGGCTGAGCTGAGTGAGGCTCTCTGATAAGGAATGCAGTCAGAATTTGGGGACCCAGTAGGAACTTGTGATGCTGTGCTCGCCCCTAACACCCGAGCTGAGCATTTCCATAAGCTTTCTGAATATTTTCCTTGAAAGAAACAGGAGGCCTTTGCTTTCTGTTTTCATTTTTTGCCAGTTTTTTCATATGTCTTAGTTATATATTTCATTTTCTACCCATCCACTCTCCTTGCTCCTCCCCATTCTGCTGGGGGAGAACTCATAAATGTCATTGGTCACAAATCCACTCTCTATACTTGCCAGAGTCACAAACCCACTTTCCGATGGGTTCACAGCCATGTTGTCATAGTCACAAGACACGTCATCGGGTGTGGCTTCCCCAGAACACACCCGGAATGAGATGTTCTTCAGGTCTGGCCGGGGCTCAGCTAAGTCAGCTTCGCTTTGTTTTCTGATGACGTGATAAACATCTAGATCGGGGCTGTTCTCTTGGTGAGGAGTGGGCCAGATGCTGTGTTGCTCCTTTGTGCTAGGGTCTGGCTGCTCTCGTTTTCTAGAAGAAGAGAGCCAGGCTGAGTATTTGAGACCAGGGTACTGAGAATATCCCTGTCCCTGTTGAAGTGGAGGAAGTGACCTGGTTCTACTTCTCATCTACCTCCCCCTGAGGCTTTGTGGGTTGGGTAGGAGACACCCCAGCAAAGTTCTGTTCTACGCCTACCTTTCACCGCCATTAGCTTAGGATCCAGGACTCACTCCCTAGAGATGGTGGGGCCAGAAAGGGGGGGGGATTACATGAAAAATCCCCAACCAAACCAACTAAAACCCCAAATTCATCTCTGAGCAAAATTAGCCATATTCTACATTACAGTATAGACAATAAACAAGAGTAGGATAATAATGTCATTGACTCTATCACCACCAGAAACCATGTTCCCTTATCATGTCAGTTATTAAGTTGCTTTGAAATATTTTATGTTACCTCTATTTCAAAATTATAATTATACCTACCACTGAAAATCATTACTACAGAAACACAATTCATTTCTGAAAACGATTTTCCTAAACTCTGTAATAGTATAATCGCTTCCTTTTTATATCAATGCATTTTGCTTGCCACACGCAAAACATTGTTTAAGGGAAGGGGATATAGCTAAATGTGACTTGTTCGGCCTGTGGAAAGCCCTGGGTTCATCCCCAGGACCGTTTAAAAGATGAAGAAAGTAAGGAAGAAAGAAAAAAATGAAAGAAAGATACACACACACACACACACACAGAGGCAGAGACAGACACACATACACAGAGAGGGAGAGACTTAGAACATTTTGGGAGGAGAGCTGCCATTCCCCAATCCTGGCAAAGTGATAAATACATTTAAAAGGGGAAATCAAGAACCAATTGTAGAGCAAGCCATTGGAAAAATATATCTGTAATTGTTTTAACTGAATTCTATTGTAAATTCAAGAGAATTATTAACAAAAATGATTACAGCAATGGCCAGAACTTTAGAGTGTGTTGTTATGTGCTTGTTACAGGTATATTCATTGCTATAATCTCATAATAATCCTTTGAGGGGATTATTAAATAAAATAGGTTCTGCACTGGAAATTTACAAATGAATTTCGAACTGCTCATTAAAGGGCATCAAAAGTTGGACTCTGATTTTTCTGCTGTAAATGTGAGAATGCTAAACTCGAATGTATGCCATGATGATGGGAAACAAAGGGGCATAGGTGTATGTACCTACAATACACGAGCACGTGAACCAGATCACATACACACTCGGCCCATGCTACCCAGTTTTCCTGCCTTGCAACCATATGCTTTTGAAATAACTTACAAGTTAATTAAAAAGAGTTTGGCTGATTCATTCTGAATGGAGTGGCTTTGGGCCAGATGCTTCCCAGAATCCTTTGGAACACACACTTTTCATGTGGCCCATTAGTCATTCCTTACTCAACAAATATTTTTGGAATAAGGACCTACATTTAGGAGAACACTTTGTTGGGTGACACATGGGTGCACAGGAAGAGAATAACACTGTTTCACCTTCCACTTTGCTTGAAAATCTTCCACACACACAGAAAAGAAAGGACACAGGACCGCTAGCTTAATCACAGCAGCACAAATGCTCAGCTAAATGCTACTTGCTTTGCATGTGGACCCAGTGTTCTGAGTCAGACAGAATTTACTCTCAGTTCTGCGGTGGTCCTTCTCTTGGAGGTGTCATGGCTTGTAGTGCTGTCAACCAGGCAACATCTGGATGCAGAGGAAGCAAAGGTTTGCCTGCTAAAGGTTCTACTTGCCTTCTGCAGATCCAAACCCAACATATAGCTGAAGTGACCACAAGTAGGAGAAAAAGGGGAATGCTGGGGATTAGGATGTAGGTAAGATTCAAAGCAGCCTCTGAAAAAGAAAAAAAAAAAGCATATATTAGCCCTGGTGATCTCAATCTCTCTCCTGGGTGTGTATATGAATGTATGCATGCATTTTAAACCAGGCTTTAAAAAGCATAATCAATAGAGTATTCCAAGTAGCACATCCTCAGAGATAGATGTAGTTGTCCAGGTAGCAGAGCACCCAGTTTTGACAAGTGAGCATTTTCTACCTGACCTATTAATCTAGGCGATAACGTAAACAAGTGTAAATTTTAGAGTCTTGCAGCTATTGGAAGATCACATTTGATAATTTTTTCAGAGTAAAAAGATTCTTCTTTCCCATGTGCTTATTAGTAAAACAGGGCTTGGTGGGGACAGTGTGGATGTCTTGCTTCCAAGGACAACCACAGAAATTCCCAAGATTGGAGAGGGAAGCGGGAGTGAAAAACATTAAGCCAAAAGTCTCTGTCATTTGCAGGGTAGAGAAAGATCACATAAGTAGACTGTCAGACTTCCCCACACATCTAAGGCCAAGGCCTTCAGCTAGATTGCTAAGGGCTGCGGAGAATGCTTAGGGGCTTCTTTTCTGAGCTTTGTAAGTTCTGAGACAGAACTGGACGTTGTTCCCTTTGGGAGCCATGAGAGAAATCAAGGATCAGAGACTAACCCTTCTTCTTCCACTGATCCAAGGTTCCTGACCATCCAGAGGCTGTCACTGCCTCACTTTCTGTGAGTCTAGAAACTTGACAATCATAAGAAACAACAGACACACTCAGAAATGGATAATTCATTTAACATACCATTATAATTATAAGTCATAAAAATACCACCCACTTTGGACAATACTCTATTCTCTTTTAAAAAATATTTTCACACATATCTACTGGATAATAAAGAATTTGATTAGCCTCTATCCCTAGCCCTTGTAGGAAGGCTCTAAATCCTTGAAATTTTTTAATTTTCTAAGAGGTTGGTAGCCCTGATTCCACTGGAAGATGATACTGAGGAGCAGAGGTTCCATCTGAAACCCTTCCAGATCCTGCCCTGGCTTTATTTGGTTGTTCCCAACTTGGATTCTGTATAATAAGATGTACAGACACCATATTCCTAAATGTTATGAGTTCCAGTGAGTCACTGAACATGACTGGGCTGGTAAGCACTACTGGATGGGTAGCCATTGAATATCAATCAGGTTGTCTGAGGACATCAAGACTTGCGTTTGATGTCTGTCTGGTGTGAGAGTTGTGGAATGTAGCTTTAAGCTGTGTGTGTGTGTGTGTGTGTGTGTGGCGGGGGTGAGGCTTTGTATAGACACTGAGTGTCAGAACTAAAATCGCAGTAAAACATTACATTTCATTTCATGGACCTGATAATGCTGTCAGGTAGGTATGAAAAATACTAAACAATTAGACTGAAGCACAGAGAAAATTAAAAAAAAAATTTAGCCTATGACAAAATCCCAGATTTCCCTCCTGAACCTCAGGGTAAGAGTGAAGTTGGAAGCACATTAACACCGCAGTTCATCACCCAACTAACTATCTTTTACCTTTTATGATGGTTATCCTCCTTTGGTTCACAGATGAGTATTGATACCAGATGGCATGTATCATGGCTTGGGTTAGCTTGCTCTTGTTTTTCCATTCCACTCTCCCAGTCCCTATCCTCCCATGGTCAGGAAAGTTCCCAAGTCTTTGCCTTTACAGAGACAGGCAGCACCTTTCACCCCCTGTCTAGTCTTTGTGCCTCAGCGGTCTTAGTATAGTAGCCATTGCACAATTCACTGATGAAACCTGCCACTTATCACAGTGTTTTCAATGTTACAGATGCTTTGCCTAATTCCATTTTTAAGGAGCTGTACGAAGAAGAGAGTAGGAAGTGTAGCCATAGGTATTTTCTAGTCAAAGGAGTCCATTATCGATTTCCCCCCAGTACCTCTGCTTTCTTTAAAGGTTTCTTTGGTGTCTTCATTTTGTGTTTCTTCTGGAAGTACGGGTGTTGCTGGCTCAGTCACTTCACCTGAGAGAGATACATATGGACTTGAGATCTTGGAGAAAGGTGCTATAGTCCAGGCATGCTCTGAGGCCTTGCCACAGGTAGAGTGGGAGGCAAGAAAACGTCCCTTTTATAAATACAGCGAAGTACCAAGTGTTGAATTTATTGCACTAGAGGTTTGTCATCATATTGTATATGTGTGTATGTTTTCCCGTGTTCCTGTGTGTGTGCAAGACTGTGTATCTGTATGTTTTATGTGTACATAGGCTACAGGTTGACATCAGGCATCTTCCACTGCTGTTCCCCACCTTGTGTTTTGAGGCAGAGTCTCTCTGAACATGGAGCTTAAGATTTGGGTATATTGGCTGGAAAGCAAACCCTGTCTCTGCCTCCCAGCAATGGGGTCAGAGGTGCATATCACTGTGCCAAGCTTTCTGACATGGATTGTGGAGATCAAACTCAGGTTCCCACGCTTGCACAGTCTTTACCCACACACTTCTGATGAGACCTTGCTGCTGCTGAGCAAGCACCAAAACAGCCAATGAGCAGCTGGAGTTGACATAGGACTAAAGTACCTAGGAGAAAGTACAGCGACTCACTACTAGGACCATAAATAATCAGTTAGGTTCATTTCTTATTTCACTTGACTAAACTTCTCCCTCATTATTGACAATAATGATAATAATGATGACAATAAGCATTCAAAATGGAAATTTTAAACTATTACTTTTCAGTTTTGACAGACATAGATGACAGGGGGCAGAGAGTAAGAATGATGACCTAGCTGTCACGATTGGATGCGACAGATATCTGTCCAAGTTGCCTGGGAAAACACCAGATTATTCTGCTGAATAATCTGCTCTAAAGGCATGGCTCTAAGTCTATAAAGAAGGGTGTGAAATGGCCCAAATTAACCCAAACTTCATGTGAGAGACTTACCTCTATGCCTTATAGAGGGTGTTGTATTTGGTTTTTCTGTAGCAGAAAAAAAAAAAAAAAAAAAAAAAAAAAAAAAAAAAAAAAAAAAAAGAACAGTACTTACATTTCCATCATCTGGATGAAATCAGGTAGGGTGTAACATCTAGTTTGAATAAATTCTATTTATTGTCACCATATGAATTATTGTTAAAAGATACTGGAGGTTGGTTGTTTAAGTCAAATAATTAGTTCCACATGAATATTAGCCTTCCTTCAACTTTACTTCAGCATTTTTGTTTTTAAGTATTTAAGAATTTTAATATTAGACTTTCCAAATGTAAAGCTTTCAAAAATAGAAAGCTTGTATATTGAGCTCCTATGTGCTGCCATAAACCTCCATCTTATCAGCTGCTTATGGAGCTGCTTGAGCTTCAGCATTGATCTCTACTTCTAACTGCAGTTCCTGGCTGGGATTGTCTTAAGTGGTTGAGGGTATTTTAACAGTTCCTACTGAAGACATTTCAGAGAGCAACAAACACATGTTCTGCAAGAAGTAGCAGTGGTTGAGGGATTGCCCCGTCTCAAGGCAGAGACTGGGGATTAACCTTGAGGTATTTATAATATTTCGAAGAGCTTCTAAGTCACACAGACAAGTTATGTCAGATGGTTTTGCTATTGCCTGACCTTGTATTAGCAGAGAATCTCTTCTGTTAATCAGATGCCTAGAATTCATAGGAACATGGAGGTCTTAGTGATCATAGCTATCAGGCCCAGATGTCAGGAATTTCACTCAGAAAGGGAAATAATGCTTAATCATCTTTCTGTATATATGTGTGCATGTAGACATGATCTAAGTCCATTTATTTACTGATAGAACTTATCCAATACTGCCTATTGGATGCTAGAGACCATTCTAAGCATTTTATAAAACCAATCTCTAGCTTGATAACAGGCTTATAAGATGTCTCTATATATCTATATATGTGGTTCTCATGTGTAAATAGAGATTGGTTTTATAAAATGCTTAGAATGGTCTCTAGCATCTCAGAGGCTTCCAACAGGACTTAAAATTTGTCTTGTTTTGAAACAATTTCAGATTTATAAAATTTTTAAGACTGTACTAAGAATCTGAACATATTTTTCATAATCATTTTCCATCTTGCCTACTTATTACTTGTATCTGTAAACACATATATACATATGTTTATATGCATATGTGCACACCAAAAGTTTTCTTCAGGGAACAAGTAAGTTGCTAATATGACATGGGGCCACTTTATTCCTCATGACGCTGATTTTATAAATGGGGTGCATTCTCATATATAAACATGGTATAATGATCACAACCAAGGAATCAACATTGATAAGATGCTGTTATTTCATCTACAGACCTTATTCCCATTCTGCCAACTGACACAGTTATGTCAATTATAGAACATCTTTGTCATCACTGTCATCACCATCCTCTTGGACTAGGATGTGTCGTCTAGGACCAGGGTGACTTGTTGCATTTAGTTGTTAGGACAGAAGGTGATGTTTAACCTGAAACTTGAAGGGTGAAAATGAGTTGGCTGGGAAAGGGGGAAATGTTTCAGGCACAGGAAGTAGCAGGTAAGAGCTTTTAAGGAACTGCACTGAGTGCAAAGGTATTGGAATAGGATGAGGAGAGGAGAGTGGGGAGAGGCGAGGATGGAAAACGAGGCAGGGGCCTTTTCCCTGTATGGTAAGTGGAATGAATTTATCCTGTGGGTGTATGGCTTCATAAAGGCAAGTGCTAGTTCTTCTCCATGTGCCCCACCTTCTCTATAAGATCTCATTTATATATCCTGAGAGGCTGATCTCCAAGGACAATTGCAGGCACCCTTGTTCTTTTGTGTTTTATTGGTCTTAGCCAATCAGAGGCAAAGGCAGGGAGTCAGAAAGTAGGGACAGGCAGAGGCCATGGCATACATTCCTCATGCTCATTTTCTTGTCAGTATGGTTTGTCAGCAGCTGCATTCTGTGGTTTCTGCTTCTGCTGGGAGATTCCTTACTCTGGTTCTGCTAAGGTGATTCCCTTGCTTTGTTAGAGCTTCCTATTATAGATAATCCCTGGATACTTTATAATCTCTTGCTCCTGACCTACACCTCTGCAAATAGCCTTTTATTATGCTCTCTTTATTAAACATAAACACTTTAGGTGTGCTATCTTCTTCATGCAAGAACTCAGTCAAACTAATTCAGGCAATAATAAAAATGATGGGGTAATTTGTGTCTCTTTAGAAAGGAATCAAGTTACAAAAATAAAAGCATATTAAAGCAAATTTCCAAATCTCTCATTAAAAGAACTGTTAAAGAAGTACAAACACTTAAATCATAAGTTAATAGAATTTGATAAACACAAGTGGTGGAAAATGGAAAGTCAGTGAATACCCAGTGCTTTCTTCCACTGCTCCGAGGTATCCAGGTCCCCCAGCCTCTGTACTTGAGGCAACTGAGTGTGGTGAGGAGAGACAGGGAGTAAAAAGACTTCATCTGAGGCTATATTGGGTGAGGAAAACATCTGCCAGCACGAAATTGTCACCAAAGTATAATGTAGTTCAAACAGCTAAAAATGGCAATAGTATTTAGTCCCCAGTTATTGTACTCCCATCAGGAAAGACTGCGGAATTGGGGCCAAGCAGTCGGCTTCAGGGATATGCGAAACCTCAGGGGCAGATCAAGAATGAGTTTCAGTTTAATTCTAAGTCGTTTTAATAACGGAGGCTGGGAACTCAGCAGAGTGAGACTATTGGCTTGTGGCCAATTCCACCTCTCTGTAGATCAAGTTAAATCTGGAAGGTAAAAATTAAGATGGTGGTTGGCAGGGGACTTTTAAACTTCATCAAAGCGCCCACTGTCTAAGACTGCTAGTGAAGTTGTCACTTGTCTTTTCTGGTCATTGGTATGTTTCCTTAAATTCCAAGACATAATCTCCTGTGGCTGCTAGAGGACTTGCAGGAGTAACTGTCAGCTTATTCGAGGCTCCCACAGCCAACCACACACAGGATGGGTGAGGTTTGTGCGTGTTCACAGTACAAGTGTTTATTGTGATTATATACACAATAGAAGTGTTATTTATAAAAAGTCTTGCTTTCTATCATGAGTAAATTAGATCCTTTCCTTTCTCACCCCTTCTTTTGCATCTGATAGCCTCTCCTTTGCTAGAACCATTTCTCAGTGAGGAACTGTCATCACATTTCCATTTACAAGAATTCTCAGAGTTTAATGTTGCTGGCATTTGCAACGGGCTTTCTCCGTGAACACAGAACAGGTTTTTGGTACCATCAGCTGTTTTTGAAATGGGAGAAGAGGTTGGCAGTTTATCCATATAGCTGGGGAAGGATTTGTTACCATCAGAGTATTTGCAAATGAAATTGTTCTTCATGTTGCACCGGTCGTCGTTCCACTGGAACATGTATGAGCCCCCGATGCCGGGTGGTGCTGATGGCTGATGGTACATGACCACGCAGACCTCGCTGCCACAGGAAGGCTCATCCACATACCAGTTCCTGAAGGGAAAGGATGGACAATGGAGACAACTGGAGAAACACACCCTAAGACTTCCACGTCTTTTGTTTCTCATCAGGTTTCACTGAACCATAAGTTTAAGATTCTGCTTCAGAACATGAGACAGAGAGAAGGAGGACTTGAAGCACTGCCAACAAGTGGAGACACATGCTGTTGATCCAGTGTGGCTGTCACAATCAATCATCTGACATTTGCCACAACCTCTTTGTAGGGAGGAATATATTATGTTCTTATGTCTGCAAAATAATTACGAGGAATAGCAGCTAGCACAGAGCTGGTCTAGAAGATCTTCAATGCTTGCCTTCTTGTTTCTGGGCTTTATGCTACTTGGGCTTGGTTTCAATGTTTTGAGCTCTCAGACATACTGCAGAGAGAGACATGAGTGTATCTCATTCAAAGCTTGTCCTGCTTCCATCTAGCTACTTTCCAATAGCTACCTCTGCCTTGCCAGCCCCAGATGATGGACGAGAAGATGAGGAGTCTCAGGGACATATTCCAAAATATAGAGGCTTCCAAAGTAGGAGAGGGGCTGGGGAAGGGACAGGAGGACATCTTGGTCCTTGTTAGTTTTCAAGACCTATGCACAGGATCAGGGAAATGAGGGTCCCCTGAGTCCATTAGGAGGTATCTTCCTTTTGCCTCCTTAACTCCTTGAAAGGGTTCAAAGTAGCCTTAGCTTTACCATCCAATAGTTCCTGGAATTTACTGAGTCTAAGTTTGAAAGTACTTATCCCATCTGTCAACTGAGGACTGGGCTTTGCAGTCTGCCTGAGTACCTGATCTGCTTCTGCACAGGGCTAGGATCTTGCTCTGCTTCTCAGACTATTCAAAATCCTGCTCTGCCTATGTCTTTCCAAGCCTCTCCTCAGGAGTCTGCTGAGACATGTCTTCTGGTAGCACCACGATATGACTCTGATCTAGTCCTGTGTGGTGGTCTGCCAAAAGGAAGCCCCTTTGTTGCACTTACTGGGTTGAATGAGTTTCTTAAACAACCACTGAATTTACAGTAAAAGTCTGGGTATTACACCCGAACATCTAGGGCTCCTGGTGGAAAGTGGGCTTTGTGCCTCATCAGGGACCTATAGCTCAACAGGCCCTCCCCATAGCTTAATGGGTTTATGTCCATCTCAGAGAGACAGACAGGCAGAGAGAGAGAGAAAGAGAGAGAGAATGATTCCTGGAATACCATTTGGATTTGAGCCCATTTTCAGACTCACAACTCACAGATAAAGAGAGAGGCCAGATGCCTAGGAAGAAAATCCTACAATGTTGTGGCAGGTGCCTATGATAGGAATTTCCTCTATTCTTTCTCTAGAAGGACCTTTGGCTATTTAGCCAAACACTTGGGAAAGGGGTATGTCTAAATATTGCTAAACTTGTTAAACATAGGGTATGAATGGGCACTGATGTCATCAAAGCCATGTATCAGAAGGGAGCACACTGCGGCAGGTATTAATTCAGCCAGCTCACAGTGGGGCCTAACCAGGAGTCATTGGCCCAGTTCTCAAATGTATGAATCGGCTGTAATTTTTTGCTTGATATTGTGAGACACGGTCCAGTGTAGCCCATCCAGTTGGGCCTTTAGCTAGCTGAAACCAGACATGAACTGGAAGTCCTGGTCCTCTACCTTCTACCTCTGGAGTAAGAAGGATCATATTATAGGCCTATGCACCTCCATTATCCAATTTTTAGGGGTTGCTGGTGCTGGAACCCAGGGCCTCTGTTTAATAGTCTAGTTCCACAATGGCTCCTTATGCTGCCATAGTGTAGAATGCCAAGCATAAACCTCTGAGACCACATTCCCCTTATCTTATCTAGAGGTGGATGGCAGGAAGCGGTGGTGCCAAAGGCCTGACAATGCAGAGCGGCACCTCCCGTCACAGCTCTGTTTAGTTCACTCGCTGACTCCTATGAAACACAGGCAGAGCCTACAGGATTACATAAGAGGAGCATACAGCCAACCCTGCAGAGCCCTAACTGTGGCTGCTGTTCTGTATGTGATAACTGCTAGAAAAGTATGCATATCTGGTGGACACACTCGAGGCTCTGAAACAGCTTGCATTGATTGGGAATGGACAACAGTCTACACCCAGGGTTTTGCCTTATTTTGAAGTTTTACTCGCATCCAGTTATATTTACTCGCATCCAGTTATAATACCTGGATTTCCTATGAATTGTGAAGAAAATCATACTGGCCCATCATACTGCTGAACAGTGTACCAGTTGCAGTAGATGAACAAGGAAAACAAAAAAGGATAGTATACTGGAGAGCTTAGTGAGACTTATGCATTCCAGAAGGTTGGAGAAAAACCCTATTAATATCCAGGACCTATCACTCCATTGGAATGTACAGAGAATGCCAAAACACTTCTCTCAAATTAAATAACAAACTATTATATCATACAATAATTTAAAGGAAGCATAGCAAGTCTCTTTGGGCTCTAGAGGTTTCATATTTCTCACCTGAGAGTACTACTGTGATCTCCATGACAGATGTCCAGTTTTGAGTGGGATTAAGAGCAGAAAGGGCAGATGTAGCCCACGGCAGCTCAGTCTCTAAGTGGGGATCCCTAGTAATGGAACAGGGACTGTCTCTGACACTACTCAGTCGCTGGCTCTTTGATCATGTCCCCTGAGGAGGGAATAGCCTTAACAGGCCACAGAGGAAGACAATGCAGCCAGTCCTGATGAGACCTGATAGACTAGGGTCAGATGGAAGGGGAATAGACTTGGGGAGGGGCATGGGAGGAGATGAAGGAGGGAAAGTGGGATTGGGAAGGGCCGAGGGGGGGCTACAGCTGGGATAATTAATAATAATTAAAAAGAGCAGAAAGGGTCTAGGCTCAGGCATCTCTCACAACGGCACCAAGGCTCTTCCTTGGCTCAACCCCTTGTGCATAGGACAGTCCTTGTGACTAGTGACGGCCAGCTCAAGTGTGGTTCACAGGTAAGTTTGCTACGTGAAGTCAAACAAGCCGAAATGACTGAGCTTCACTGCAGCCGCACTACGAGGTGGCCCTGAAAGCCAGTGGTAAGGGGACAGTGGTAAGGTAGAGTCAGTACGCCTCATTAACCACTTTATAGGGGAAGAGAAGTTTCAAGACATATGAAACTTGGGGGGAAAGCAGGTCCACAGCTAGCTAACAAGAACACAAAAGAAAAAGACGAAAATGAGAAGAATGGCATCTTGAGATAAAGAAGTGAGCATGAAGTCTGACAAGTTTTTATCATGTGATTAGCTCACCAAGGAGCACCTGCCACAGAATTGGCAGTAAACAACCAGGGGGACAAACAAGTGATGCCAACCAGCTGTTCTCAGCCCTATCCATAGTAGCTAAGCAGGAACAGTAAGCATGGAGGCTCTGCATGTGCTCAAGAGCTTGGTTTGCACACAGCAAGCACTGATCTGGTATGACCACTGTCAAGTATCCAGCCTTCCAGCAACAGAGACCAATATTAAGACTGATGCTAACTCCAGCCTGGGAAGTTCATGGTGACCCCAGAGATGGTCTGGCAATGCCAGTAGGTCAGCCATTGAAACCAACAGAGGGTGGGGAGGATGAGGAGGGATATAAAGCAGCACTGGTAGTCAAGGAGACCAACATGATACTTGGTGCTAAATTAGCTACATTGGACCCTGAAAGGGACAGTTACTCATTTTGGTAAGAGTAGATACAATCTGGGCATTGACTTTGCCTTTTCTGCCTCAGATCTAATAACCAACGGTATAAATAGTATTTTATCTATCAAAATAAGGGCTTAAATACAGTCTCATCAGGCAAAAAGATCTATTTTGTAGCAAAGAAATCATGAAACGAGGTTCCCAACCACAGGGATTACTTGTCAGATTACATCATCCCCAAACTGCCAGCTTGATCATGGATGAGCTTGTTGAAAGCACAGCGGAGGCATCAGCCTCAAGGTAACTGAACTTTGGAAAGGGACACCATTCTTCAAATAGCCATATATATGTTAAAACAATAGATTCTATAACTCTGTATCTCCAAGGGTAGAATTCATGGGTCTGGAGCCACGGGATAAAGGCAGCACTCCTCCGCTGGGTACCATTGCCACCTGTGGAATTTGTACCTTTCATTTCTGCAAAGCTATCATCTGGGAGTTCAGAGGCACTTAGTTTCCAGAGAAGAATACTTCTGCTAGGAGATATAGCAAGAGTCTAACTGAGCCATAAACCATGGTTGCCACTTGGCATTTGGGAGCTCTATATTCAGAGATCAGCAGAGAAAAGGAGAAGTCAGTCTCTTGGCAGTAGGTTGTTTACATCAGGAGATGTGGTTTGCTGCTGTGTGTCAGAAGCAGGAAGAGTCTTCCAGGTGACATACTTGGGACTATCTTTATTTTCACATCGCACTTTTGAAAGTCAGTGAGAAAGTATATTAACTCCAGGCTGAGAAGTATGAGTTGACTAGAGCCTCACACTCTTCAGAGCTGATGGGCTGGTTATGTTACTAAGTCAGCCATTGAGACTGGCAGAAGGGGTAGGGTATACTATGGGACAATAAAGGTACGATGTCAGCTAGTGTCAGTTGGGGCTCTAAGACCATCTTTAGTGATAAGAAATATACTTCCTACTCTGAACCTTCTATTTCAAATTATTTTTTCCAGGAAGAGAAGACTGTAAGAACTCTGGGTGATTTCTCCTACACTGTATATGAAGACAAGATCTGGCAAGTGTAATCAGTAGCCAGTGAGAGCTGGCATGCTGTCTTAATGTAACCGATAAACTATCTTAAACTATCATCTAAAATATTTCATTTATTTATTTATTTATTTATTTAATATGTCTGGGTGTTTTGTCTGCTTGCATAGCTGTACACCACGACATGCAGAGCATGCAGAGTCGAGAAGAGGGCGTGGATTCTCATAGAACTGGAGTTATAGACAGTTGTGAGCTGCCATGTGTGCTGGGGACTAATGGGCAAGAATCAGGGCCTGCTGCCAAAGCAGCCAGTGTTCTTAACTACTGAGGTATCTCTGCAGCCCAGAAAAAAAAAAATCACCTTTTAACCTTTATGTTTTTAAGTGATAATGGCTATACATTTTCCATGTAATTGTATAGCTTTTTTTTGGTCTTGGAGGCCTTTGCATTTTATTATCTATGCATTTAGGTCGACTTACAACTCTTTATCATACAATGGTTAACTCTTCAGTGGATTGTTTTCCCCTTTCCTATGTTTTTCTTGTAATGTTGATATTTTTAAATGTTTTTCCATGTCCCCGTATCTTTCAGGAAGCGATGACGACAGTGTAATGCTGCACAGTGTGGTGTGAGCACTCATCATCAGCATCTTGATGCTGTGAGTTTAGGAGTTTCCTACAAACTGTAGTGGAAGTTTTGGTTTCTTTAAAAACTCAGTTATGTTATATAAATATGTTTTTGTTTTAATCCCAAGTGTGGGATTTTAGTTTCAGCTTTAGTTTGTCCACAGTTATTAAATGTCTCATGCTTTTGCCAACTGGTAATGGCCTACCTCATGCCTCATGGGGCATGGCGAGGGATGTGGTCTAGGGTTCTGGATATAAATATGAGAGCCCAGAGAAAGAGAAGGTGTGGCATGCGGTGTTGGCATGTAGCATTTAGCAGTTTGGAGAGACAGAGAGACAGACAGTGTGATGGTTTGGAGCAGACAGATGGAGAGAAATGCTTCGGCTTGGAGGAGACTGCTGGCTGTGTTTGCTGTTGATGGAGATTGGTATTGCCCCCAAAGACCCGTCAATCCTAAACATCTGGGAGAAGTAAAGGGCTCTATGCCCCCTCTCTCCACTAACCTCTGTCCTACTTAGAGTTGGGGGGTTGGGAGAGAGGCTTTAAGGAACCCTAAATAAAATAGAGTTTTAAAACGAGCACTACAATAAAGTGCAACTTTCTTGAAGTGTCCACCCTGAGTCGGTCCATAGAGCAAGATACTGGCTCTGATTTCTTGCCCTTTATCACTCTTCCCTGTGGTCTGGTATCCTACCCTGGTCCCATATTTAGGTACCTTCAGTTTCTCAATACATTCTTAGCTCCAAGGATCAGAGAGCCAGAACCACAGATCTCAAGCATAGAATGTTATTTAAAAAAAAAAAAAAATCTGGTGGCCTTCATTTACCTGAACAGGGCACTTTGGGCCTAATTCAAGGCTGAGTTTTACACCCTCGCCATACTGTTCTAGCCAGTGGTCATTCTGTTGTTACCACTACCACGGCTCTCTGGACCTTCTCATGAATTTGACTCCGTGGGTCCTGCTTGTCTCTTTTCTGAGCTGTGTCAAGGAAATCAGCTGCTGTGGATCCACACACTTACCTGAACTGTGATGTGCTTCCATCTGTCCAAGTGTAAAGGTCCTGGCAGGCTGTGTTGTTGCTCTGTTTCTCTTCCAGCCTCCTGAGGCCAATCCAGAAATCACCATCAGATGCCAGGAGGTTTTCAATGAACTTTTCTATCAGTCTCTGCTCATCTTCTGTTTCGATGCTGACTAGCTCTCCCCTATCCCTCCTACAGGCTTCTTGGGCTTCCTCAAAGTTCAGTCTTTGAAAAGCATCAGGGAAGTACATGACTTTATAGCAAGGCCTCCGTGTCCCTCCCCAGCAGACCAGCTGCCCTAGAGAAAAAAAAAAAAAAAAAAAAAAGGCAACCTATTTCAGTACCCTATGAAAGTATACCAGGGCAGATGTACTTAGAAACAGCCAACTGAAGGTGTCTCTGGGCAGGAATTCTGATTGTCCACGTGTGGACTGTTATCACTCAGGCTTCCTAGAGAAAATCAGTACTCTGTTGAAACACCAAGCTACAGTGATTTTAATCCCTGATGTCTGTATTGTGTAGGAGAGCTATGTTCTTGCTCCAGTGCAGACTGACGATGGTGTTTCCATATTTTAAAAAGAGTAGGTACGTATTTGTGGCTTCACTTAATTAATGCACACAAATAAGACATTGAATGCCCCTAGGGAATCTCAGGGGCTTATGGGGCTTACAGTAAGTGTTGCTGTTAAGTGGTTCCTTCAGTGTAGAGGGGCATTCTGAGGTCAGTCATGGATCCCTCTGTCCTGAAATCCCATCTATGCAGTGGAACTAACTTGTGCATCTCTGGTGTGAGCAGAAGTTAAGAGCATCCATGGCCTTTTCTGCTACTGATAGTCAGTTCTCTGACCTAAAGACAATAGCTAGAGTTTACTGAACTTTTTCCATGTCTACGGTAAAGGTTTTCTACTTCCCTTTAGCCCTCAATAACAGTCTTCCAATGTCAAGACCATTTGTGCCTCAGTTTATACATGAAAAAACTGCAGCTCAGAGAAATCAATTTGTCATACAGCTATCAGAAGCATTGTCAGAGGCAGAATCCAGATCTGATTACAAACTCATACCACAGTCACTGAACTGTCTTGATGGTTCCCCACTCCTTGATAGGCCCAGGTTGCACTAGGAGCCCATGTCTCATTTGACTGACACTTGGAGGACTGAAGAGTGTCTCAGAAAAATGGGTGTGTTTCCGTCAAGTAGCATAGCAAGTAGCAAACTGTTCACTGGCACAGGCTGCCTTAGCTTGTGTCTAGGTGACTGAAATAGTGCTGCAGCTGAGGCCCAGTCACCCCTCTGTCAGGCAACACTTATTTGGGTGACTCCTCCTTGCCTGACGTGCTAGGTATTGAGAATTCAGACATGCCAGTTCCTAACCTACAGGAGCCCACAACATGACTCTGGACCTACACATACAAAGTAAAAGCCAAATTTTAACGAGGAGACTAGTCCCTGCAAAAAAGAGCCAAACTGTGGGCCACGAGTGTGAATTGCTGCTGTGGAGTAAGGCATAAATCACTTGGTTTCGGGGCTTCTTGCCAGGCCTTCTGGAACGTTCTAATTTCCCCAACATGTATTTGAGCTCTGTAGGGAGCCAGACAACACTCATATTGTCCAATAACTGTCCAGAATACAGGTCAGAAGGCCACTGACAATGCTAATTGTGAAGGAGAAATACAATTGTCTCCCTGAAACTCCACACTTTGATAAAGTCTCAATGAGCAAGCAAGGTACTGGGAACATCCTGTACCTCCTCCCTTGTAGAAGATGTTTCAGGTAAAAGGTCTCTAAAAGGACAGGCTCCCAGAGGATGAGGAGTGCTTGGAAGCTGGGCTTCTCACCAGGAAGGTGTTCCAGAGAAAAGGAGAAGGTGGCCCGTGGAGGAAGGCAAAGGGGCCCCGGAGCTTCCCCAAACCTGGCACAACAAACCGGAGTTGGCTTTACTAGCAGTCCCACCTTTCCAGGCTAGACTGCCAAGAGAAAGCTTAACACCTCGGTAGAGTTTCCTGCATGGTCCAGGCTGGCTGCACACATCCAGTGTATGCGAGTGAGTGCCAGGGAGCACCAGAGCTGGAAGGAGGCCGAGGACCCATCTGGTTCCCCTGCCTTCAGGAAGTGTCTTTCTTTTCTCATTTGCAGGAAGGGGAAGGGCAGGCAGGAGGTCTCCTGTCACCAAGCATGGGACTGAGCAGCCCTAACCCTCTCATCCCTCAACCTTCTGCTGAGCTGAAATACAACCCCATCCTGAAACCAATGTTAGATTCCTTCAATCAGACCCACAGGCTAGAATACAGTGGCGATTCCCGTTCTCCTCCATCCCTCTTGACCAAAGAGCACCTGGTAAAAAGATCCCCCAGACATGCAGACCTAGTGGTAGAAGAATGAAGTCAGAGCACTGTACCTCCTCTGGGATCCAAGTCCGAGGCTGCCGTGACACACAAGGAAGGAAGCAGAGAGTCACTGTTGGAGCCTGCCAGGGCTGGTCGCATGCTAACTAGGCTGCTTTCCCAATCTCCAAGGGCTTCCAGGCCAGCCACCCTCCCCTCAGAGGAGAGTAACAGGTAGGGTTCCCGAGGCCCTGCGGGTCCAGGATTGGCTGCCTTCCACTAGAAGGGTCTAAGGCAGCACGATGCTCAAGGATGCAGGCTGAGGGGCACTCACGGACCAAGTTTTCCCACTGCCCCACCCAAGCCACGTCCTCCCACTCACCCTTGGTCACTCCAGGGAGAGAACGGACTTCCAGCATTGCAGGATGCCCGGGGTAGCCCCAGGAACTGAAGCTGGTTGCACATTTGCTCCCTGGAAGCAGAGAACTCTGAAGGGCTGATTGGGTCCTGGAGTGGATCGGGGGGTTGCCCCTCTACGCGAAGGGCCAGAGAAGGGGTGCAGTGGCCCTGAAGGCGGTCCTCAAGAGCTGGGGTCTACTGGGCGCATCAACCCCAGGTGGCTCAGGCAGGACGCACACTCACCGCTCAGCAGGCGCCCCTTCGAACTCCTCGGTTCTGCCAGCAGCACCGCCAGCAACAGGGCCTGCAGCGCGACCCGCCGCTGCATGGCTGGACTCCAGGGCGTCCCGTCACCCTGGGGCTAAGGCAGAGAAGTGAGCAAACTGGCAGCTGCGTTTGAGCAACTGCAACCAAGTCAGCTGCATCTCCCAAAGACCCACAGACCCCGCACTGGGCGGAGTCCGGGAGGGCGCAGCGTCTGCTAGTTGGTTGCCCTCCTGGTTCGTCACTGCGGGGAAGGCAGCCCCTCGGGCTGGCCCGCCTCCGACGTCGAACCCTCCCGGCTCCACAAACTGCTAGCTCAGAGGGGAGCCGGCAGCGGAAGGGGCAGCTCCTCGGAGAGAGCCGCCCAGGCAGATCCTGAATTTGCCTGAGAAAGAAAGAAAGAAAGAAAAAAAAAAATCCCACTAGAGAGTATTTGAACTTCCAGGAAGCGGGTGTTTTCAAACAATATCACCTCTCGCCCTCATCACTACACCCAGCTCGAGTGGACCAAAAGTGACAAAGCCCCTACTTACACCTTAGTAACGTCAGACTCCCGACTGCACCTGGGAAAGAAGTTAGGCAGGCGGGTAAAAGATTCTCGGGCAGGCAGTGTGTCTACTGACAGTGTGCATTTCAGGGGCCTAAGGAGCTTCCACAAAAAGAGGCAGAGCTGGAGTTCCTCAGAGGCCTCTCCCCGAAGCTAGTGTGCTCCGGATCTTAGCCAGAAAGCCATTTTGCTTTGTGTAGGACACGTTTTGGGAGGTGGGAGTGGTTTGTGGAGTTCAGCCTTTGGTGGACAGAAAGGTGACTCCCCTGGGGAACAATGATCCTATTCTCCCTACAGAAGCTTTCATAACCGGCCTAGCCTAAGCACATCCTCCCCCTTTAACCTCACACAGTAATGTTTTACATTTGTGTTCCCCAATACGTTCACACGATAGAGCCAGTCTCCTGTCAAAAATCTAAGAACAAAGTAGACAGCGAAGGGTTCCTTGCCCTTTCCAGGACACTGTGGTATTGTGAAGTATAGCAGAAACCACATCTGGGCTTTGGCCTTCTGGATTTTGGTCCCAGTTTGCCTCTGTTTACCTATTAATCTAGCTAATCAGAAGAGCGGTGAGAAAAGCAGAGTAGGGGCTGGAGAGATGGGTCCGTGGGTAAGAGCTCTCATTACTCTTGCATAGGATTTGGGTTCAGATTCCAGCACTGGATGCTGGCTGGCGATCACCTGTTAACTCCAGTTCCCGAGGATCGCCTGCCCTTCAGAACACAGGGAATGGCTTCTGGCCCCGAGAGTCTCCAGGCTCACATGTAATGCATGTACATACATACATGCAGGAAAACACCCATAACACGTGAAATAAAAAGAAATCTTTTAAAAATGAAGTGGTGATGCCCCCACATTCTTGACCTCTGCAGGTTTAAACAGGTGTAGGTGCTAGTTTTTTAAACTATTTGTGGTTCCTTAAGCTTCTACCTCCCTTCCAACCCCCTAACTCAAGACAGGAGAGAAAGGAGGTTAGAAGGGAAAGAGGACGTGGAACTCTTTAGACTTAGTTCTGGCTGGTTAGGGTCATCAGGTTTATATTTCTTGATGGTATTAATAATTACCTTAAGAGGTTTGTGATGGTTTGTCAAGACAAATATGTATGTAAATGTGCAGTTATATTTGACTTTGATGTCGGTTTAAATAATTTATTTCTAATATTACAAAATCTGTCTTAACTTATGAAACAACCACTTGTTTCAAATAGTTCAATTGTGTCTTGAGTTCTCCCTAGATACTCTGACTTTGGTCGGTATTGGTTTTGTTAGCATAGACAACCAATTGAGTGTAGTAATGACTCAATTCTTCCCACCTCCCAGGACACATATTCTTTATTATGCTAATACAGTCCTCCTCACTAAAAAGGTTGAACATTTTCCTTTGCCATGAGGTTTGATTAATCAGTAGAATAAACCGGAACTTTATGAGCCTACAGCAGAAAACCCTTTCATGTTCTACTTATTCTCTTTCATCTCTTGATTCTAAGAGGAGCATGCCTCAGATAGCCTACTGGTCCCTGAATGTCCTCAAGAGAGTGGTATGTGCTGCAAGGCTGCCTCAGTCCATTGGCAACCTTGTAGTGTGACAGAGTGCTTTAAGTGGAATCAGATCAGCCACACCATGAGCTGACCCTTGTATGATCTCTAAGATTGCCTTAGAACTCCTTGCTACGTGGTATTGTTGCAGTAATAACTACCTGGCAACACGGGCATGTATCACCGTGGGAGGGTTAGTTGACAAGAAAACTCATAATGTGTAATTATTCTTGGTAAAATTTCTTTGGCTCAAGATCTATTCCTCAGCTTGATGAGTTCAAAGTTAACTAAGAAACCAGTTTAAGTTCGTGTTTTGCATTTTGGAATATTCACATATACATAATGAGATGTTTTGGTGCTAGGATGCAATTTCAAACTCAAAATTGTTTTCTATACATCTTTTTCACATAGTCTGAAGGTAATGTTCTACAATATAATAATATTTCTGTGTTTTTATGCATGATGTATGCACATGTGTGTGAGAATGTGTGTACTTGCACATGACTGTATGGAGGCCAGACACTGATATTGAGTGTCATCCTTCAGCCATATTAAGTCCATTATTTATAGACCCAGTAGCAACTCAACTCTGGCTTGTAGACCTGTTCCACAACTGGGATAAGCCAAATTAGGGAAAAGGACTATTTTAAAGAGAAGCCTTTAAGTTTTTAAGAATGCTTTTTATCTTGGTTTTATTAATTTCACTGATAGAACCCAAGTCAAGGGCAATATAGAGTCCCTTATTCTTGTTTATTGAGTATTCATAATACAAATAAAATATATACATTCTGGAAATACCCCTCAAATAAAACAAACAGGAGTTTGGGATGTATAAAATGAGAAAGATAATTATAGTAACATGTCAAACACAATAATATGCAATAAGTGAACTAGACACAAACGTTCAGTAACTGACAAAATACATCTGTCTATATTCTTAAATTTTATTTTAGTCTATTTTAACACGAAGTTCGGTAGCAGTCAAATTCCTGGAAATCTGCACATCCTTTACCTACTGATCCTGATGTAAGCATAAATTGCTTCAAGGGTGAACACATGTCAATCACTTGCTACCAGATGTCAATCAAATCATTCCAAGGCTTTGACTTCTTCTTTGTCCTGTTTGTCTGACTCTGACACAACTTCCCTGTAGGCAGCAGAAAGAATCAGTTTCTACATTCAGAATAGAATGTGGTCATCACGGTCACAAGATAGCAGGGACATGAATTTCCCCAGTAGTCAGCACTGTGGATTCTTAATGTGTATTAAGGCTTGTGACCAAGTATGAAACGTGAGAGAAATGGTTATCACATTGGGAAGTGTGACATGATAGGCAGGAACCATAACCTCCTACCCTAAACATTTTGCTTACTGAGATTTTATCATCAGTAATTGTTTTGATTACTCCTATTTCCTTTTACTTAGTCCTCGTTGACAGTGCAAATACTACCAGAGTGAATACTAAGAATATCATTGTTAAAGCATCATATGAATTCACTGTCTTCTAGAAAGGGTACAGCCTATCCCGAGAAGGCCTACTGTGTGACCGACAGGAAGCCTGCAACCCCAGGGGTAGAAACTTTGGGCAGAGTGAACAAGGTGGAGGGGAAAGTATTTACAAAATTTAAGAAATGTTTGTATAAGTTAATGTACAGCATAGGGACATCAATTTCCTAAACAGCTAATGCTTAATTTACATAGCATTCCAGAGTTTTTAAAACAAATATATTCTGAATACCAGTATCCAGTTAAGTGGGGTGATCCAGTTTCTCAAGGAGCTTACAGTATGGTTATAGACAAGGTATAAAATGTGTGAACTGTTAAATAACTTAAAGGTAGAGAATTAAATTAGTATAAAATATGGGCACAGAGCAGTGTGTGATGGCCAAAAGGATGGAACACATAGGACTTTTAAGTTCCAAAGAAGATGTTACTGTGAAATGGAAAGAAACTCAGGTTTCAGGACTAAGAGGAGAATATATTTAAAAAAAATTAAGTGGGGATTTAAAATTTAAAATTACCCTTTTAAACCTTGATCCTGAGTCAGGGCAATGAAATATCTATACAGCAGAGGACTAAATTTATGCTAATGGGGCTGTTAACTTTCACTTGTAGGGCAAGGGGTGGGTCCTAAGACCCTCAGGAGACCCTTACACAAGCCTTTCTGGGAGTCCATGCTCTTTGGGATGGGACGTGATTTCATTGGTATAACTGCTTCTAAATCATTCCTGCTCTAGTAAATAATCCCACCAAGCTCATTTATTCACTAAAACATGATCAGTTCAAGCTGTAAAATAATACACTTGCATGCAAAACAACAAGGATAGTAATAGATTATTCATTAAGAGTGCATTTAAAGCCTAAGGCACCCAGACATGTCTGTGCTACTCAAATCGCAGCCTTTATCCGTCATCTGGGGCAGTCAGTAAATCTTTCCTCCACTCATAGGAAGTAAGTCAAATCATCTGGTGTAAGGCAAGAAACTAATTTGTGGAGCATTATGTAGAAACATAGCCAGGTAAATAAGTGATTAAAAAAAAATCTATGTAGACATAATCACTCTTCTTCTTTTTTTTTTTTTTTAAATAATCACTCTTCTTTAAGGCTACTTGCTAACATTAAAAGAAGTCAGCTTCAATATCGATGAAGTCGAAATTCTATTGCTTCTGTAACTTTATTCTCAGAATATTGCAAGAAAAGAGAGTACGTTTCAGAGTCCTGTTAAGTTTCCAAAAATTCTTCTATTTTAGCAGTCTATCACTAACAGGCTAATGTGGCCAGACTACTGGTGGATCAGAGCCGGTTGTCTGGAAGACCTAAGGATTCACTAAATGGCAGGGTGATCATGGGAAGGTGGAGCTGGGAGGCAGCGAGGTCACACAGAGGCTCCAGTATTTGCTCTCCACTTTGTTCCACACATGTGTGTACATCCCACAGATGTGCACAGGCCTGAGCACAGCAGGAAGTATGTTTATTTAAGGCAAGAAAACCCTAACGCAGTGGTGTGCGTTTTTAGAAGATTTGTTGGTAGGAGACAAACAAACAAACAAACAAACAAACAAAGTTCTTTTAAAGACAACAAGTAAAAAGGTCAGGATGTGTTTGGAAGTAAACTTACTTTGCTTTCACCTTTTTGGGTTTAGGTTTAAAAGGCATTGAAATCAGTTCTTTCTAGAAAAAAATTAAAAAGAGGAAAATGTTTACTTCTTCTGAAATTTGTTCACTTGAAAACAGACTGATGTACAAATCATCACAGAGCCTTCTTACTTCTGAAAACTACCAAGTCAGAAGTGTGCAGATTAGAACTAACTTGAGGCTCCTTCAGGAATGCACATTTGAATATCCATATGTTCCTAGTGGATTGCTTTTCATGAAGGTTTTAATCACTTAAGTTTTTATTTTTTATGATCTAAGAGGATCAATCACTGAAAAATCAGGAGCAATGAAGTAGCACATGCTAATAGCCTACAACTGCATACAGTGTGCATGCACAATAGGTGCCCTGCCAATCACATCTCCTACCTTCTGCCATCAGAGTTGCAGACTGGTGGAGCTGTCTCTGCCTTATGGATTGTCCAGTTACTTAATCTCCATGTTTTCCCAGGCTTTGGTGTATAGAAGACTCAAGATGTGAAAGCATTGATTCAAAGGGCCAGCCTACCAAGCCCCTGACCATTTGCCACAGATCATGCATGCTATCAGACAGCTATCCAAAGCCCCATCATCATTCTTACCGAAATCCTCTCTTCTCTTTGTTTTTTTAAAAGTTGGAGAATCTCATCTCTCTTTTTGGCCTATTTGAAGAAAAAAAAGTGAGCCTTTTGATTCAACAATAAAGCCTGACTCTATGGGAGTGGAGTTTTCCCTTTTTTTCTGATATTAGTAGGATGCTAAGATATGTTTTCCACAATAGGTCTATGAAGAATAATTTGGTTTTGTTCTAAATGTACAGATTTTATTTGCCCTTAACAACCAACTTCTATTTAGATCTTACCAATGAAATATCCCAAGAGCTTTAAAACATTTTCTTATGGTTTTAACAATTCTGAAATTTGGCGCTTTCTTCTCCATTTGACAGGTGGGGAAACTGAAGCAGAGTTAGGTTAAACAATTTACCCAATGTTCAATGGCAGATTGGATTCGATGGCAGATCTTGATGACAAAGTCTGAGCTCTTAACGACCAAAGGAAATTGACACTAAATGGCAGTTAGCTAGAGGATCAGTAAACCCAGAGATCCCACCTCACCTGAGCACACAACCAAAGAGTGCTCCTTAGTGCTTGAGAACAAAGCTTTGTCCTGTACCTCTCCTTTTTCCATCATGGCTATCAAGATTTCATATACTACATAAGTTTTCATAAGCATAAAACCTGTTTAGCACAGGCATGAAGAGGAATCAACATATAAACTGTGGAACAGACAAACACAGGAAAAAGGACATTCTGTTTCGTACAAGGCTAGAAGAGAAAAACACAAAGTGAGAATAGAACAGTCGTTTTTCAGAGACGGAGACAATCCTGTCAATCTGTCCATCCAAACGCATTGTGCACCTTGCTTGGTTGGGCTGCCGTTTCATGTGTTGCTTGCTTTAAAGCAATACTTTGTCTTGCAGTTCTGGAGGCTAGATGTACAGATCCAAGCAGTCTGCAAGGCCAGGCTGCCTCAGAAATTGACTTCTGAGCCTCTTACTAGGGCCTGGTGGTCTGCTGGCTACCTAGACTGATCCTTGGCTTACAGAACTACAGTCTCTTCATGTGAAGCCTTTGCTGTCACATGGCTTCTTCCTGTCTCTGTTTTCACATGGTCATCTTTAGGGACAGGATTGTGTTTGCTTTTTTATTTTATTTATTTTATAGTGTTCTCCTTACAGAAAAAAAATTAACCACAAAACTATATACCTTGTTGTGGAAAAAGCAACCTTAAAAACCTCTTGCTTACCATGTCTATTTTTAAACTTTCTACTTGCATGTTAATTATATAATGGGGCTTATGACATTTTCATATGTGTGTAGAATGAAGTTTGCTCACATTCATTCCCCAACATTACCATGTCTTGTCCCCCTTTCTACACCCACTAATCTTCCTTTCCTCAGCTCATCAGGGTCACCTTCTAATGACATCAAATTAGGGGCTCACCCTATTCCAGTAAGATTCCATTGGGTTTAATTTTATTCAGATCAACCATATTTCCAAATCTGATATCATTCTGAAATACTGAAGGTTTGGCCTTCTTTTGTTTCAATAATAGATGCATTTTAACTCCTAATAAGCATGGATGCTATCACATTGCTATGTCAGAGGCTGAACAAGCCACAATTTGGGCACAAAACCATCTGAGCTGCACATCACTTATTCCTCAGTGTTATTCTCCAGTCTCCATGGCTCAGTTGAAGAAGAAGCTAGTGACATCAGGAGCCCTGAGCACAGAAGAGAAGAGGGCCCATGACTGGCAGGTGTTACCAGCAGCTGGGCCAGGTTCCCTGGGTGATTTTGATTTGTACCAAATTGTGTGAATTTTGCCTTTTACTTATTATTTTAAGACTCCTTTTGAGATGGTCTCACTCTATAGCCCTGCTCAGCTTGGAACTCTTTAACTGATGCAGGTTGGCCTTGAACTCATAGAGATCTGCCTACTTTTGCCTCCTGAGTGTCACAGTTAAAGGTGTGCAACATCATACCCGGGTCAAATTTTGCCTTTTGAACCAACAGAGTTTTTTTATGTTTGATTTTTCAGGTTTTATATGTCATTTCTTTTTTGCATTTTTATTATTTATTTCAATTTATTCACTTTGTACACCAGCCGTGTCCGCCTCCCTCATCTCCTCCCAACCCCTCTCTGCCTTCCTCCCTCTTCTCCCATGCCCCTCCCCTAGTCCATTGATAGGGGAGGTCCTCCTCCCCTTCCATCTGACCCTAACCTATCAGGTTTCACCAGGACTGTCTGCATTGTCTTCCTCTGTGGCCTGGCAAGGCTGCTCCACCCAGGGGGAGTTGATCAGAGAGCCAGCCACTGAGTTCATGCCAGAGACAGCCCTTGCTCCCCTTACTAGGGTACCCACTTGGAGACTGAGTCTAAGGGCTACATCTGAGCAGGGGTTTTAGGTCCTCTTCATCATGGTCCTTGATTGGGGTATCAGTCTCTGCAGGGACTCGAGGGTCCAGTATTTTTTGCTCTGTTGGTCTCCTTTTGGAGCTCCTGTCCTCTCCAGGTCTTTCTATCCCCCCCTTCTGTTTTGGAAAGAAGATTTGTACTTTATATCTAATATTTAGGCATCATCATAGTTAATTTAAGAAAAATGTGCCCTTTTGAAAGCTAAACACAATTTCCTATTACCTATCAACTTTTACAGATTGGATAAAGCAGTGTCAGCACAGACCTGAGACGGTGTCATTGCACGGGTTCAGTGTTGGTTTCCTCAACTCTCCCTTGACATGTGTCCTGGAATGGATCACTCACACATTGTGATTACAGAGCATGGACACCTTTCTCTATTGCTCTTCCTCTCCTCACTTTCTTAGTTCTGTGTGTCTTGTTTAGAACCTTACCATTTTTCTAACGAGTGCAGAAATGCCTAGTATGTGGTTCTTAATGAATGTTTATTGACTTCGATTGCTTGAGTTATGATGTATGAATGGAATCATTGTATTTGTAACACACAGCTAGTTGCCCAGTATAGCCCCCCCAAAGTTTTAGAAAATTAAATTAAAGAGTGAGTAAACTTAGTAATAAAATCCTTCAACAAGTGAAATTGTGTAATTCTTTTCTGCGTAACACTTGGGATATGATAGTAAAGTTCAATTGTCACATGCGTCTTGTATGAAAAGATGAATACTAATAAGATTTAAAAAATAACAAGACAAAAATATATTCACTTTTTCTTGGACTTTGGCTCCTTTTCATCAGAATAGATTTTAGTAACTAATTAGTTTTATAATGTCATAACCACAGACACAAAGTTTTCAAATGAGATTTGCTTTTTGCTTCCTGAGCATGTTTCTTGGGAATGAATATCAAAACTACTATAAACAACTGTGTCCTCTGAAAAATATGTTGTGAACTATTCTAAGAAATCCCAGGAAAGTGAAATGCAATTCAGTGGTGAGAAGAGATCCTTGTAATTTACCTCATAAGTAGCTCATTTTCAAACATGTTTTGGATGAGTTCTTTAGTGGAAGTTTATATCTATAAAACATTATAATTTAATTAACCCCTAAAATAATACTCTAACAGGATCATAATTAACTTTTAAAACATTAATTTTTGATAAGTACTTATATATTCTATATTACTTATATTTATTCTATTTCTGAAAATAGAGGAGATAAAAGTTGATTATATGAAGTTAGAATATAATAATATATATAAATTTAGTGTGCATTGGGTGCTTAATAAAAATTTCTATCTCTCTGGAGTTAAAGCATTTAGTTCTTAGCTATTCAAAGCCAGGTAATATTTTTTGGTAGAGAAATACACAATTTATTGTCAGAAAAGCAATATCTAGCAAACAGTGCAAATATTGTTTTTTCAGTTAGAATTTTATTTTTATTTTTTAAATTTAATTTTATTTTTAATTATACTTTATTTACTTTGTATCCCCCCTCTAGTTCCCTCCCTCCTCCCTTCCCAATCCCTCCCTTCCTTCCCCTTCTCCATGCATGCCCCTTCCCAAGTCTACTGGTAGGGGAGGGTTTCTTTTTATTCCTTCTGATACTAGTCTGTTAGGTCTCATCAGGAGTGGCTGCATTGTCTTCCTCTGTGGCCTGGTAAGGCTGCTCCCCTCTCAGGGGGACGTGATCAAAGAGCAGGTCAATCAGTTCATGTCAGAAGCAGTCCCTGTTCCCATTACTATGGAACCCACTTGGACACTGAACTGCCATGGGCTACATCTGTGCAGGGGTTCTAGGTTATCTCCATGCATGGTACTTGGTTGGAGTATGAGTCTCAGGAAAGATCCCTGTGTTCAAATTTTTTGGTTCTGTTGCTCTCCTTGTGGACCTCCTGTCCTCTCCAGATCTTACTATTTCCCACTTCTTTCATAAGATTCCCTGCATTCTGCCCAAAGTTTGGCCATAAGTCTCAATATTTGCTTTGATAGTCTGCAGGGCAGAGCCTTTCAGAGGCCCTCTGTGGGAGGCTCCTAACTTGTTTCCTGTTTTCTTCTTCTTCTGATGTCCATCCTCTTTGCCTTTCACAATGGGGATTGAGCATTTTAGCCAGAGTCCTCCCTCTAGATTAGTTTCTTTAGGTGTACAGATTTTAGTAGGTTTATCCTATATTTTATGTCTATATGAGTGAGTATATACCATGTGTGTCTTTCTGCTTCTGGGACAGCTCACTCAGGATGATCCTTTTCAGTTCCCACCATTTACCTGCAAATTTCATGATTTCCTTGTTTTTCAGAGCTACAATCAATAAATGGGACCTCATGAAACTGAAAAGCTTCTGTAAAGCAAAGGACACCGTCATCAAAACAAAACGAATGCCTACATATTGGGAAAGAATCTTCACCAACCCTCTATCTGACAGAGGGCTAATATCCAGTATATATAAAGAACTAAAGAAGTTGAAAAGCAGCAAATCAAGTAATCCAATTTAAAAAATGGGGAACAGAGCTAAACAGAGAATTCTTGATAGACGAATATCGAATGGCAGAGAAACATTTAAAGAAACGCTCAACCTCATTAGCCATTAGGGAAATGCAAATCAAAACGACCCTGAGATTTCACCTTACACCCATCAGCATAGCCAAGATAAAAAACTCAAGTGAGAAGACATGCTAGAGAGGATGTGGAG